TGTGTGTGTGTGGCCAGCTCAGCCCACCAGGGGGTGGGGCTGGTTGGCATGTGGTGCTGGGGGATTGAACAGTGGTCCCTGTGCTTTACTAAGCTTGTTCTAAGTAGGTGCTTTAGACCACTGAGACATCTCACCAGCCCCAAAAGGCAGCTTCTTCTTCTTCTTCTTTTTTTTTTTTTTTTTTGGTGGAACCAGGGATTGAACTCAGGTCCTTGCGCTTGCCAGGGAAGCGCTTATTCCACTGAGCCATCTCCCCAGCCTTCTGATAGGTTTTTTTCAGGCCCCCTGTGCAGCAGAGAAACAAGCAGAAGGGAAAAGGGAAAAGGGCTTTATTTGCTTTGGAACAGAGGGGGGTGCTGAGGCTTTTATGGCCTTTTGTCAGGGGTGGAGTTTGAAGGGATGTTTAGATATACCTGAGAGAGCTGAGTCCCTGAGGCCGCGGGAAGGGTGAAAGGAAATTGTACCCTGGGCTGAGCTGGAGAAGAAGCGGGGAGGTGGTCCTGGGGAAGATGGGCTTTTATTTGAAGGGTTTCAGCCATATAAGATGACCACCATAATGATTTTAACTGTTCATACTAGGGCCAAAACCCATCACCTCCCAAATGCTGGGATCATAGGGGTGCGCCACCATGCCTGGCACACCTTGTTAATGTGGATGGATATCTAGGTTGTTTTGCATTTAGGCTCTAATGAACAAAGCTGCTGTGAACACTTTTGTTTAGGTTGTATCCTGGACATTTGTTTTTATTTTTCTTTGATAAACACTAGGAAGTATACTGCTGAGTCATGGAGTAGTTTATTTGCAGTTGTATAAGAAATGATTGCATGGTGTTTCTGCAGGTGTTATCATTTTCTGCCCTCCTAACAGGCCTAGGAGAGTTCTGTTTGCTCTGTGTCCTTGTCAGTACTTGGTATTGTCTGATTGTGGCCTTGCACAAACCTGACCAAGTAGAGATTGCAGAGAACGGGAAGCTCTGGTTGGCAGGGAGAAGTTGTTGTTGGTGTCTCCATTGCTTTTGTTGGTTATGAAATTATCAGATCTTTTTGTTTGTTTGTTTGTTTGTGGAGCCGGGGATTAAACTCAGGCCCTTGCGCTTGCCAGGGAAGCACTTATTCTACTGAGCCATCTCCCCAGCCCCAGAATTATCAGATCTTGACTTTTTAAGACCAGCCAGAAATCTATGTTCTGTATGTATGTGAGTGAGATTTCCTTTTCAACAAAATATTGTAAGAGTCAAAAGAAACAGTGACTGTTGACCGTATTGTCGTCTGGTGTGGTGCAGAGTTGAAGGATCTGGCGTTAGACTTGGGGCACATGCTCACCTCATTAACTAAGTGTTTTCCTGGAAGCAAGGACACCTGCCCTTGGCTTACTTACTTTGTTTTTTTTGGCAGAACCAGGGATTGAATTCAGACCCTTGTGCTTGCCAGGGAAGTGCTTATTTTATTGAGCCATCTCCCCGGCCCCTATTTTATTTTGTTTATTTATTTATTTTTGGTGGAACTGGGGATTGAACTCAGACCCCTG